TTTATATATATAGGCAAACAGTTGTTACCTTATAACTGGTTTTATATATATAGACAAACAGTTGTTACCTTATAACTGGTTTTATTTATATATATATAGACAAACAGTTGTTACCTTATAACTGGTTTTATTTATATATATATAGGCAAACAGAATTCAAACAGTATGTTTAGAAAGGAAATATAAAACTATCATAGTTTTTTACTCAAATGGATTTCTGAAAATTTTGAAGTTCGGTGAAACTTAACTATATGGCATTGGCGTAGCCAAGGGAAGGCCATGCCCCCCCCCCTAGGGCTTGTATTTTTAATTTTCACCAGCAAATAATAAAGTTTATATATTATAAAGATAAATTTTGTTTGTTTGGAATTAAGCACAAAGCTACACAATGGGCTATATGTACTTTGCTCTCCACGGGTATCGAAACCCAATTTCTAGCGTTGTAAGTCCCGCAGCATACCGCTGTGCCACTGGGGGGCATAGAAATATATATAGAAATTATATGCAAATATGAATGTTAAGACTTGCCCCTCCCTGCAAATTCCTGGATACGCCACTGCTCTATGTTAAAAACATTTCGACTACTTAGAATAACACACAAAAATATTTGTTTCATTAGGTTGCTTAAATAGACTGAATTGCTGCTCAACTGTCGTAACAGTGTACGAAGCATTTAAAATGTGTTATTAAGTGGTGATTCATTACTACATTTACCTGTACTTGAAAACATTAAGAGTTTTTTGTTGTATATTTGAAATAAAAGTCACCTAGTTGTCTTTGTGAATAATTATCAAATGAAAAATAACTTGACATCAAAGTGGACTTGAGATATTGGTTTCTAAATCTACTGTCACTTTTAAGATTTCAAATAAAGAATATACAAATTTTTATGACATATTATATCATTATTATTGCTGGAAAACGCTTTTTTATGCTGTGCAAACTGTACAGAGGTTGAGCACGTTATATTAAAACGACTTTGGAGCCTCACCACATCGTTACAGTCCATGTCGTCACGTTCGGTCATGCTCTATATGACGACCGTTCATCTTGGCAATAGCTTGTAGCTTCGTTTCCATTGCAAAATACTCTGTCATAAGACTATCATGTTTAAAGCGCACCCCATTTACCTGCAGCTTTCCGTAATCCATTTATTGTACAATGATGATGATTCCCAACGTTCGTTTCAACAATCTGATCGCAGAGCAAACAATGCGTCAGGAGATTTGACCGGTATGTCTACGTATGGAATAACATGAGTACTTGTTTCATTCTCCAGTTGCTTGAGGTATGCAACGGTTGAACTGATATGTCAGGGGAAGCAATTTGTGTCGTTTTTCCAGACCAAGATCCGTCTTGATTATATTGCGTACTGTTGCCTGGGACAAGTATAAGATTTTTGCCATTGACCTTTGTGTTCTTGGATTCTCACCATTAAAAGACGTTATACTTTGCTTATTATGGCTGGGATATGTAACATGTTGCAGGTCTCTTTCTGGACGGCTCTGAAGCATCAATTTGATCCATATTTCTTTGCTTTTCAATGGCATCAGTATAAAGGCTATCCCCATCTTGGAAATCCCAAATCCCTCATTTGAACACAGCTTTATGATCTGATTGTATAAATATTTTGTGTTGGAAAAGGCTATCACATACCCTTCCAAAAAAGTGATCAATATGAAAGCCAAACAATGTCAAAATGTAGTTCTGATACATTCAATTCCATCGCAACTTTAGATGGATATGTTTGTCATGTGACTTACTGATTTGCATATTCAAAAAAATTTCAATATAACGCCTTCAACCCTGTAATATAATATAGTCTTAGAGCTATCGTTTTTTGTTTGAATGATTTATTTTTCAGATATAAAGCCTACTTACCAAAACAGTTAGAAATGTTTCAAACACAACTACCAGTTATTCAATAAGGCAAATATATTTAAAAATATATCAGATCTTACTGTTTACATTTTACAATTACAACAAAAGGAATGAATTATTGTAAACATTATAACACGTGTTTCACGTTGAGCTCACAGGTTTCATGCTGTACTATTACCCACCTTGACTGCTTTATCGAGTTCTAGCAGGCCGTTCTTTTTTATGACATCAGAAGCTATAGTATTTTCTTCGGTAGAGATCTCCTTGACAAAAACGTTACTTTTACTACAACGCTTTACCATGATATTACCAGCACCGTCCATCTTGATTTTCACGCCCTAAAAAACCGAAATGAAGTATCGAAATTAAACCCGTTTTCAAAAAATAACTATACTATAACTATAACTAAAGTACAAAGTAAAAACCCCGTTGTTACGGGTTGAACGTTATGGTGCTACAAATGTAGAAAATAATAATTGTTGTAGGGTTCTGTGAAAACGACCCTTACAGAGTCCATTGTCATACTTTTCATGCTGTTCTTCTCTTGATTCCCTCTTGGTTATTCAAAATTATTCTAATAGTATACATCTTCAATATAACAATCACAAATGTTTAACACCTGCTGTCAAAGGACGTTTTCCAAAACCTAAAGATAAAAAAATTGCATTCACTTTTAATGAAACATTCACGTGATTCCTATTTTGGCATGATTTACAACTGTTTTTGACACAGAGTTCTGGGAAGTGTTTATAACTGGAATTTGCTCTGAGAAGGCCGTTCACCTACAGGTGGAGGTAAATTGATATAAGCCAATCAAGTATTACTACCTACGTCCTTACCAGGATGGGGGTGAACTCTGTTGGTGATTGCAGGGGCTTACCATCACAAGGGATTCGCCCACTGCTTCTCTTTAGACAGGGTTGTTCATCTTGGGAGAGGCTTGGCCAATAATAACTACGACAGCTATGTTGTACCTGTTACTCATCCAATGTTCATAATTACGTATTTTCTTCTACGTCAACCTTTTTTGGAAGACATTGATCTTGATATTTTTTCCCAGTTCGGCAAAATTCAGAAAAACAAAACACAAAAAAATACGAGAAAACCATGTTGGTTTCAAAATTGACTCAACAACCCACTTTAACAATTGATTTTCTGTAATAAACAAACAGTTTTTTTTGTTTTGTTTTTTACAGAAGTAACATAAAAAACACAAATTCAAATTAGTTTAAATTAAAACTTTGTAACGTTTTGGCGGCAGCTTGTTTGTTGTGATGTCAGTGTGAAACTTCGCTGACATCGATCATAAGAATATGAAGCTAAACAATAGGATATCTGTGTTGTGCCCAACACGGGTGTCGAAACTCGGTTTTTTAGCGTTATAAGCCTTCAGACTTAACGCAGCGTCACTGGGGAGTCAGTTCTCTGAAACATGTTCACCCATCAAACAAATTTAACTTGTAAGCAAATGTCACTGATTTCGGAGACATTTCAGTCAGAACTTAACTGAAATATGTAAAGCTAGTATTATACTTGAAAAAAAAACTTTTTAACTGCAACAGTTTGCTGTACTAAGACGCTAATATGTTAATATTAGCCCAGAAAGAGGTTTTGTCGAATCGGATCGCCAAGACGATTGTAGATAATCTGTCTGTACAAAATTAGATTTTTGTTTGAATAAACGGAGATCGTTTACATAGTTGCATCCTTATTGAACTGGAAGGCTTAGATCACATTCTTATTGAACCGGAAATTCAGGCCGGATCTTCATGCAAGTATGATAGTTAACATCAGGTGTTTCTCATGAGTAAAACATGTCGGACATATTGCGATGAGTGCTTGATTGTTTTTTTTTTCATTTCTAGTGTGTAATTATCCGAACAGTATTGGATGCAATAACCTTTCTTACCAGTGTATTAAGAAGCTCGTGATGTCATCAGGTTTATTAAACTCATATACTTGTAAATGATGCTCTAAATGACGAATTCACTTCCTGGAGCCACTTACTTGGCAGATCTTTTTCAGTTCTTCAATGTATAGACGAAAAAGCTAACGTGTGTTGAATGACTCACGAAATAATTCTAACAAAATATTACTAACCTCAGAAAACTTCCGCCATTTTCATGATAATTCCACAGTTATTTTCGTTCTTTTGTTTTTTACAAAGAACGTCTTATGCCTTAAAAGTTGCGAACATAAATGTTTTGTAATGTGAAATTACTACTATAAGTTAATCTTACAATTACGATCTAAGAAAAATCAAGCGTCACAAAATTTGATCATTCGAAATTGAAGAGACATTTACAAAGAGAAAACCAAATATACTTACATTTCCTATGTTACGCTTTACCTCTTCTGTTTTAGGATCTCTCATGGGATTGTCAAAACCACAAAGTCCAATCCTAACAAGATCAAAGTTGCAAGTTAATTTAGATTTTCACAATCCGGTTAAAAAAATATGCTATCAAATAACACGAGTATCGTGCTTTAGTCATTTGTAATAAGATTTGATTTCATGGGACTAAATCGCAAGTACGGAAGTGGGCCAAAATAAATTATATTTTACGAATTGTAACCAAAAGTAGCAATCATTAAGCCAGGTTCTAATAACTGGAGAACGAAACAAAATATACTGTATACAAAAAAATTACAATTATTCGGTTTGCTAATACGAATAAAGCTTAATCTAAGTATTGATAAATTAAGCATGTTAAGTACCTGTAGCCATCAAATCCATCGTCGGATCCATTGACTGTTAGTACTGGAGTTCTTGCATAAGCTTTGGCAACCCGGCGATTCCTTTCCATACAGATAATCTTAGCCCAGATTTCGTCGTCAATCTGCTCCCATTTGTTCAGAACCTCTTGGATGTGGTCCTGTACGTGGAGAAAGCGGAATGAAAGTTTAGAAACTCAAATATACACGTTAGAGTCCATCCCATTTATAAATCACATAATAATCATTCAAAGGGAGGAGCTGGATGTCAATCCAAAATATCAGAAGCAACTTCATTCAAGATAAGTGAAAGTAAAATACAGTTTGTACTGGACTTTATGTAATCATCCTAGCTCTCTTCCAAAAGTATAATTCCATGTTTCATATATAAATAATTGCACAGTCTATATTGTTTGTTTATTGTTTATTTTGAATTTCGCGCAAAGCTACACGAGGGCTAACTGCGCTAGCCGTCCCTAATTTAGCAGTGTAAGACTAGAGGGAAGGC